AGAGTAGTTCCACTGCCCTAAAAGTCCTCTGTGCTCTGCGTACTCATCCCTCCCTCTCCCGTAACTCCTAGCAACCACTGATCTTTTTATTGTCTCCACAGTTGTGACTTTTCCAGAATGTCCTACAGTATGTAGCCTTTTTCAGATTAGCTTCCTTCACTTAATATACAGTAATATGCATTTGTTTCTTCCCTGGCTTTTCATGACTTCATAGCTCATTTTTTAAAGCACTGAATAATATTCCACTGTCTATATACTGTACATCACAGTTTATGTATCCATTCACCTACTAACATCTTGGCTGCTTCCAAGTTTTGGCAATCATGAATAAAGCTACTATAAACATTAATGTGTACGTTTTGAGTGAACATAAGTTTTCAACTCCTTTGGGTAAATATCAAGGAGCAAAACTGCTGGATTATATAGGAAGAGTATATTTAGTTTTGTAAGAAACTGCCAGACTGCTTCCAAAGTGACTGCACCAGTTTAAAATTTTTATTTATTTATTTACTTACTTGGCTGCATCGGGTCCTAGTTGTGGCACGTGGGCTCTTTGTTGCTGTGTGTGGGATCTTCCTTGCTGCATGCAGGATCTTTAGTTGTGGCATGCGAACGCTTAGTTGCATCATGTGGGATCTAGTTCCCCAACCAGGGATCAAACCCTGGCCCCCTGCGATGGGAGCACGGAGTCTTAACCACTGTGCCACCAGGGAAGCCCCGGATGCACCATTTTTCATCCTCACCAGCAACAAATGAGAATTCCTGTGGCTCCACATCCTCACTGGCATCTGGTGCTATCAGTGCTCTGGGTTTGGCCATTCTAATAGGTGTGTAGCAATATCTCATTGCTGTTTTAGTTTGCCTTTCCCTGATGACATATGTTCTGCATCTTTTCATGTGCTATCTGCCATCAGTATTTCTTCTTTGGTGAGGTGTCTGCTAAGGTCTTTAGCTCACTTTTCAATCAGATTGTTTGTTTTCTTATTGTTGAGTTTTAAAAGTTCTTATAATTTGATAAGAGTCCTTTATGAGATGGGTCTTTTATAAATATTTCTCCTGTCTGTGGCTTGTCTTTTCATTCTCTTGACAGTGTTTTTTTGCAAAGCAGAAAATTTTAACTTAAGTCCAGCTTATCAGTTCTTTCATGGATGGTACCTTCAGTGTCTTACCTAAAAAGTCATTGCCAAGCCCAAGGTCATCTAGGCTTTTTCCTATGTTAACTTCTAGGAATTTTATGGTATTGCATTATATACTTCAGTCTGTGATCCATTTCAAGTTAATATTTGTGAAGGGCGTAAGGTCTGTGTCTAGAATCTTTTTTTTTTTTGCACCTGGATGTTCAGTTGCTCAAGTATCATTTGTTGAAAAGACTACCTTTGCTCCATTGTATTGCCTTTGCTGCCTGTCAAAGATCAGTTGACTCTATTTATATAGGTCTATTTATGGACTCTCTATTCTGTTCCATTTATCAATTCTTTCACCAATACGATTTTGTCTTCGTCACAGAAGCTTCGTAGAAAGTCTTGAATTCAAACAGGGTCAGTCCTCCAACTTTGCTCTTTTCCTTTAATATTGTGTTGGCTACCCTGGGTCTTTGCCTCTTGGTATAAACTTTAGAATCAGGATACATACTGGGATTTTGATCGGGATCACACTGAATCTATAGATTAATTTGGAAAGAACTGACATCCTGATGATATTGAGTTTTCCTATCCAAGAACATGAAATATCTCTCCATTTATTTATTTCTTCTTTGATTTTGTTTATCAGAGTTTTGTAAGTTTACTCAGATAGATCTTATATGTAGTTAGGTTTGTAACTAAGTAATTTGGGGGGTGCTTATATTAGCACTGTTTTTAATTTCAAACTCCACTTGATCATTACTGATACATAGAAAAGTGATAGACTTTTGTATGATAACTTTGTATCCTGCAACTTTTCTATAATTGCTTATTAGTTCCAGATTTTCTTGTTGATTCTTTCAGATATTCTACATAGGAAATCATGTCATTGGCAAACAAATAAGTTTCTTTCTTTCTTCTCCAGTACAGTGTTGAAAAGGAGTGGTGAGAAGGGGCATCCTTGTCTTTTTCTTGATCTTAGTGGAAAATCTAGTTTGTTAGCTTTATCATGTCAGCTGTTGGCTTTTTGCAGATATTCTTCATCAGGTTGAGGAAGTCCCCTCTATTCCTATTTTACTGATAACTTTTGTCATGAATGAGTGTTGGATTTTATCATATGCTTTTCTGTATCTATTGATATGATCATGTGGCTTTTGTTTATAACCTATTGATATGATGAATTACATTGATTTTTGAATGTTGAAATAGCCTTGCATCCCTGAGATAAATCCCACTTGGTTATGGTGTGTAATTCTTTTTATACATTGTTGAATTCGATTTGCTAATTTTTTTTTTTGTTTTTTGTTTGTTTTTGTGGCACACGGGCCTCTCACTGTTGTGGCCTCTTCCATTACGGTGCACAGGCTCTGGACACGCAGGCTCAGCGGCCATGGCTCACGGGCCCAGCCGCTCCGTGGCATGTGGGATCTTCCCAGACCGGGGCACGAGCCCGTGTCCCCTGCATCGGCAGGCGGACTCTCAACCACTGCGCCACCAGGGAAGCCCTATTTGCTAATATTTTGTTGAGGATTTTTGCATCTATGTTGAAGAGATAGATTGGTTTGTAGTTTTCTTTTCTTATAATGTCTTTGGTTTTGCTAGTAGGGTAATGCTGACCTCACAGAATGAGGTAGGAAGTATTCCCTCTGTTCTATCTTCTGAAAGAGTTTGTAGAGAATTGGTATAATTTTTTCCTTAAATGTCTGATAGAATTGACCAGTAAAATTGGTGGGCCTGGTGCTTTCTGTTTTGGAAAGTTACCGATTGTTGATTTTTCTTCTTTAGTGTATAGGTCTATAATATATAGAGAGACCTATGCGCACTATTTTGTCTGTAAGCTTTGGCAAATTGTATCTTTCAAGGAATTGGTCCATTTCATCTGGGTTGTCAAATTTGGGGCATAGATTTGTTCATAGTCTTCCTTTATTATCCTTTTAATGTCAATAGGATTTGTAGTGATGTGCCCTCTTTCATTTCTGGTACTAGTAATATGTGTCTTCTGTCTGTCTTGTTAGCCTGGCTAGAGGCTTATTGATCTTTTCAAAGAACCAGATTTTAGTTTTGTTGATTTTCTCTATGGATTTCCTGTTTTCAATTTCATTGCTTTCTACTCTTAATTTTTATTATTTCTTTACTTCTGCTTACTTTGGATTTAATTGGCTCTTTTTCTGGTTTCCTAAGGTGGAAGCTTAGATGACTGATTTCACTTCTCTCTTCTTTTCTAACATTGCATGCAATGCTCAAAATTTCCCTCTAAGTACTGCTCTAACCGTATCCCACAAATTTTGACAAGTTCTGTTTTCATTTTTTAAAAAGCTTTATAGCAATCCCAGGAATTCTCTGGCATTACAGTGGTTAGGACTCGGTACTTTCACTGCCAGGGCCTGGGTTCAATCCCTGGTCAGGGCACTGAGATCCCACAAGCCTCACAGCGTTGCCCAAAAAAAAAAAAAAAAAAGCTTTATACCAATCCCTATCAAAATACCAATGGCATTTTTCACAGAACTAGAATAATTCTAAAATTTGTATGGAATCAAAAAAAGACCCTGAATAGCCAAAGCAATCTTGAGAAAGAAGAACAGAGCTGGAGGCATCACACTCCTAGACTTCAGACTATACTACAGAGCTACATTAGTCAAAACAGTATGATGCTATCATTCAGTCCTCACCCATCAGTTGCTGATGAGGCAACTAAGATCTACAGAGGGCTGCACAGTTTGATAATGAAGACAGGATTAGTCCAGGTCTAACAATTTCCATTAAATGAGCTGTGTGGAAACACCAGTGTATGCGAGTGAGGTTTCCCTTTCTCCTGGACTGTCATCTGTCTCTCTGGTTTCCTCCTCTGTCCCTAACCCAGGGTCCACAAGGTAAAGGCACTTACAAACACCACTGGCTTACCAGTAGGCTGATGTACAGATGCTTCTGCCAAAACAGTGAGTCCAAATAAACTTTTTGACAAAACAAACACCAAAAACAGTATGAAATGAGCACAAAAACAGGCACATAGATCCATGGGACAGAATGGAGAGCCCAGAAATAAACCATGCATTTGTGGTCAATTAATCTACAACAAAGAAGGTAAGAATATAACTGATTACTGTAATTGTACATTAGCTAACCTTACAAATACTGAGTAACCATTACCATGCATCAATAACCTTCACTGACTCCCAAAATATGTGTAGACTGAATTACACACTTCTAAATGATACCGGAGACAAAGATGAAATCTCAAGAGAAATTTACAAAGTTTTCTTTTTTTAATTGAGGTATAGCTGATTTACAATATTGTATTAGTTTCAGGTGTACAACATAGTGATTCTAAATTTGTACATTATATGCCATTTAAAGTTATTATAAAACATTGGGTGTATTCCCTGTCCTGTACAATATTTGTACCTCCTAATCCCCTCCATCTTCTCTCTCCTCCCTCCTTCTCACCACTGGTAATCACTAGTTGGTTCTCTACATGTGAGAGTCTGTTTCTATTTTGTTACATTAATTCGTTTGTTTCATATTTTATTTTATTTTATTTTATTTTATTTGTAGTATGTGAGCCCCCACTGTTGTGGCCTCTCCCATTGCAGAGCACAAGCTCCGGACGCGCAGGCTCAGCGGCCATGGCTCACGGGCCCAGCCGCTCCGCGGCATGTGGGATCTTCCTGAACTGGGGCACGAACCCATGTCCCCTGCATCGGCAGGCAGACTCTCAACCACTGCGCCACCAGGGAAGCCCTGTTTCATATTTTAGATTCCACACGCAAGTGAAAACATCAGAATATTTGTCTTTCTCTGTCTCGCTTCACTTAGCGTAATACCCCCAAGTCCAACCATGTAGTTGACAACGCTAAAATTTCATTCTTTTTAACGGCTGAGTACTATTCCATTGTGTATATATATTCCACGTCTTCTTTATCCACTCATCTGCTGATGGGCACTTAGGCTGCTTCCACACCTTGGCGACTGTAAGAGAGTGTATTAGTTTCCCGCTGCTGCAGAACAAATGATGCCAAAATGTAGTGGCCGAAAACAACAAACATGTGTTATCTCATTTTCGGAGGGTCAGGAATCAGGCAACCTTTACCTGGGGTGCTCTGCCTCAAGGACTCTAGCAGAGTGGCCCTTAAGGTGTTGCCTGGGCCAAAGTGTCACCTGAAGACCTGAGTGGGGCGGATCTGCTTTCGAGCTCACCCCGCCATGTCTGTTGACAGGATTCAGCTCCTCAGGCTGTTGAACTGAATGCTTCACTTCCTCAAGGTTAGTTATTGGCCAGAGGCTGATGTTCCTCGCCATGTGGGCTTCTCTGTAAGGTAGCTGTCAAGATGAGAGCTGGCTTCCCTCAGAGGGAGCAAGAGAGCAAGGTATGCAAGCTAGCAGTCGTTTTTTACTTTCTGTTTTTTTTCGGGGGCCTCACCACGCGGCTTGTGGGATGATCTTAGTTCCCCCACCCGGGATCCAACCCGGGCCCTGGGCAGTGGAAGTGCCGGGTCCTAACCCCTGGATCACCAGGGAAGTCCTTGCAATGTAGTCTTCTTAAACAAAATCTCAGAAGCAATACCCCACACTTCTGTCTTATTTTATTCTTTCTTTTAAAATTGATTTTTATTGGCGTAGAGTCACTTTACCGTGTTGTTGGTTCCTTGCTGCACAGCAAGGTGAGTCAGTCATACGTACACGGATACCCACTCTTGCTCAGATTTCTGTAAGACATGGGCTGCTTCACGAATTTGCGTGCATCCTGGCAGGGGCCACGCTAATCCTCCCTGCTCTGGTCCAATCTTAGGGTATGTGCCGCCGCAGTGGACACTGCCTTATCTTATTCACTGGAAGCTGGTCAGTAAACACAGCTCCCACAAAAGGCAGAAAGATATTAAAGAGCAAGGCATGAGGCCAAGAGAGGGCCACCGGGAGCCGCGGCAGAGGCTTCCCATCGCAGAGAGCGAACCGAACAGCGCCCGCTCAGCCGCTTCATTTTAGGGGGTGTGGCTGGGACCAAGCACTGACACCCCCTCCACGTTCAGAACCGAGCGGAGGGTCTGTCTCCTCCCCAAGCCTCCGCAGAGTGCAAGGGACGGGTAAACAGGGGTGCAGGACGGAGAGCAGCAGCCCACCCAGCAGGCCCACCGCCCGGCCACAGAACGAGCCCCACTCATGCGGGCCGGGGCGGGGAGAGGTCCGCGCGCCCCGGGAACGTCGTGGCCTCGGGCGTCGTCCCGGTCGTCCCCGCGGCCGCCCGAGCCGCGTGGGCAGCTCCGCCCTCTGGACGCAGTGATGCTCCCCAATCACTCACAAGCGGAAGGAACTTTCTAGACTCAGGCACAGACTTCTATCACGTTTCTCTCGCGAGCCTATCTCAAAAGAAAGCACGAACAAGGTGGTTTAATTCTAGCGGCTCCTTAAACTTTTTGTCACTCCTTGAATCATTTTCAACGGAACCGTCAACGCCCCTGTCTGGTCAGGGCCTCATTTCCACACGCACTTCGTCGAACTCCACACAGACGCCACCCTCCCCCACGACCGAGGACGGCCCTCTGGGCGACGCTAGCGCACCTGCTCCGACGCACGCCTATGACGTCAGAGCCGGCGCGGGCTCTCGGAGCACGTTCCCCGCCTGGAGCATTCTGGCCTCGCGCTCTTCCTCTCTGTCACGGTGACTGACTCAAGCCTGTTCCCTGAGCTTAACCTGCACCCTCGCACTCTGATTTAGCGGGCCCGTCCCAGGAAGCCGGAAGCCGGAAGCCGGAAACCGCGGGGCGGGTCCGCGTTGACGCGCCGGAAGCTGCGGGGCGGGAGCCTGGGGCCGGAAGCCGCGGGGCGGGCGGCGGCGCTCCCGGAGGTAGCGCGGACGTCGCGTGCGTCCGGGCGGTGCGTCGGGCTGCAGGAGAAGATGGCGGTCTCCACAGGTCAGTACCCTGCCGGGCCGCCTGCTTTTCCATCCCAGCCCTCGCTGCGCCTCTGCGCACAGGTGGCGGCCGGCCTGGCGGTGTGGGAGAAGCCGGAGTACGGGCCCCCGGCCGCCGGACTTTCCGCGGAGCGCAGCCGGAGCAGGGAGGGTCCTGGCGGCCGTCGGGGCGGCGGTCGTGCCCGCGCGTCGGCTGCGTGCCTGGGGGCTGGGCTGGGCCGGGCCGGCTGGCCCGGGGCTCTGGCGGGCGGTGCGGGAGCGAGGAGGGGAGCCCGGGCGGGCCGCGTCCACCAGGGCGCGCGAGGCCTCGCATGAGGGTCCTGGATGGAGCGGGTCCGACCCCCCGGCTCGCCCTGACGTGGGCGGAGGACAGGGCCATTCTTACCGACTGAATGCGTGTGGTCTTTCTTTCGCTAGAGTGAAAAACTGAGGTACAGACTAAATAGAAGCAAGGAGCTAGGTGAACGCTAATTGAAGAAAAAGCGGTTTCTTAGATTAGCTGTTCCGCTCTTCTCGTACTGAATACAGTTTTAGTTTCCTCTGAGCACAGACGTTGAAATTCGGTATTAACACTAAGGTTTTAGAAATTTGACCATTACAAAATGTTAAAGGGGGACAGTTTTATTACTTAAAACGTTAAGACGTATGGTCTTTAATTTTTCTAATCATTATTGAACCGTGGCTGTGGAACAGTGTGGTTTTGTATTTCATGCCATCATTGCATAATAACACGAATTTTCAAGTCTTTGTGTACTTACGTGGAAGGCTTCGGTGTATGTTGTGATGGGTATTTTTAAGGTAGTGCCGTTCTCCCTTCATTTTAATGAAGAATTGCGTCTTTTGTATCGCATCTTTATTACGTACAGGTGTCAGGATAAGCTGTTTAACGATTTTAGCGTTGGGGAGCTATTTCGGTACACTTGAGGTCAGAGCTAGCTAGTAAAGCGTGGATGATTTAAAAAGTGACATTTTAGTGTTAAAACTTTACTGTCCTTGCTATTTGAAATCGAGTGTGCTTGTGCATTAAAACTCCATGTCTTTTTAAGAGTTGTGCTTCGTACCTGAAGGTTCTTGAAAATTTAGTAGTAAAGTGGTGTGTTTCAGTTTGACTGATAATCTTCATTTTGTGGATTTCACTTTTTTATTTAAATACAATTTTTCTCCCCTCTAACGTTGTACCTGTGAGAGAGTGTGGAAATATTTTGAAAAGACCAATGATTAGATTATGTTAATGGCAGGTGCCCTTTGTTAACCACAGTGAGTCATTTTTGGAAGTTGACTGAATTATAAAGAAGTTGCTGAGAGATTACTAGCACGTTTATTGTACATTGGAAGCCTGTATTTTCTAGTTTATATTTCAGCATTCTAATTGTTACATTTACGCTGCTTTTAAATTTATGAGATTTGAAACCTGAGCATAATCAGAAAGAATATCTTTTAGGCAGTTAGTTGATGTTTTCTTAAATCACTAAAATTTGTTTTGAAACTGTTGTTAAAAATTGCCTTGGCGAATTTCATATACTGTTTATTCCTTTTCTGTGCTTTACAACATTGACACTATCGTCCAGCTTGGGGAGAGGGGAGTGCAGAAGCAGTTTTGGACTATGTTTCGAAACTATTTTTAAATTATATTTTCTCTTAGTTCTACATTTGTATTGTTTGCCTCTTGGTAGCAAGGGAGGGAAACAGTACCCGTGTATTTGTGAAATAAATGTGATAAAGCTTGAAATTTTAAAATTAGGGTGTACTGTACATGTTTTTTTTGTTTTTTGTTTTTGCGGTACGCAGGCCTCTCACTGCTGTGGCCTCTCCCGTTGTGGAGCACAGGCTCCGGACGCACAGGCCCAGCGGCCATGGCTCACGGGCCCAGCTGCTTCGCAGCATGTGGGATCCTCCCTGACTGGGGCACAAACCCGCGTCCCCTGCATCGGCAGGCGGACCCTCAACCACTGCGCCACCAGGGAAGTCCCATGATTTTTTATTTAAGCCAAAATAATCTTGATAAAAATAGCTCTTTAATAGTCCAAAAAGAAAAAGACACCTGACAGATATTTTTTTAAATTTTAACTAAAGCATTATATTTTAACTTGCATTTCCTAAATCATATGCTTTTAGTCTTTCTGTTACTGGAAGAAAAATTGGCAGGAAGAATTCTAACTAGACTGAGACCTCTAAGCTGACCGATACGATACTTTGCCATACCATTTGGTCCTCTTTGTTTTGCAGTTGAGTAAACTGAGGCCTGAGGAAATATAAGGTTTTACATAGTTGGTTAGCAGTAGAGTCCAGATCAGAATCAGGTTTTTTACTCTCAGTCTAGTGCTTTTTCCATCATGAGCAATTATGAATTTGGAATAATCCTGAAATCAGGAATCTTACTTCCTTTTAGGCTTGAGAGTGGCTTTCATACTTCTCTTCCTAGCAGAATCCTTGTTTCAGACTGTCAGATGCTTCTCGTGGACAGAAGTAGGGCTGTGGTGGAGACCCCACTGGCTAGGTTCCTCTTTCCCAAGAGACAGTCACCTCGGGGGTCAAGATGATTTCATAGGACACGGCTTAAGAAACACGACTCTTTGGGATAGAAATTTGTTAGTATATTTAGTACCTGTGATTCAAAAATTTAATCACATCTCAGCACTAAAAGAAGTATTAATGTTAGATTAAAAAGTGTGGTAAGTCTATGTAAGCCATATAGGTGGAAAACAACCACAGTGAAGCCTAATTACCTTTTTCAGAAGTGGGAAGCATTATGTTTACTGGAACAGGAACTGGGTTGGCTGTGTTTTGATTCCCCTGCTGCCCTGGTAGATTGCCATGCTAGGCGTGCAGTGAGTCTCATAAGCCTTGCTTTTCCGTCCCTCCTATGAAAAGTTTGGACTACATGATTTTGTTTGTTTTCCCCATCTTCGGGATGAAGATTTGTGGATATGGGCAGAACTTGGGAGTAGTAATAGAAGAAGAGATTTGCAGGTGTAAATCATAGAACCTGAAAATTAAACAATACAAGAGCTGAACTGTAATAGTCCAGGGTATTTCCCTCTTGAGACTTTAATAACAGGCCTGGTAGATTTGTCTATGTGAGTTAGGAACCTGGGTGCTCTTGACGTATGTTTGCTCTTGATAATATCGTCAGGCAATACAACCTATCAGCAGTCCTCCCTTTGCATGGTAGTTTGGGTGGCATACTGAAACTGTTCAGAGCAATCTTACTAAGTAAGAAAAATTATGATTATTCTGTGACCTTTGAAAATGTTTGCTGAAACATTGAAAATTCCTGGGGTTACAAGCATATAGGAAAAATGGAAAAAATAGTAAAACTAACATTTGTTTAGTACACTGTAGTTTAAACGTGAGAGATTAAGAACTAGTGTTTTTGGTTATAAAACGCTTGTCAAGATTAGTTTGAACAATGCTTGCCTTATCTTTTTATCGTATAACTTATGTGGAACAAGTATCTTTTCTGTGCTTTGGTGAATTGTCATACTCCAACATTTGGATCTGCTTCCAGTATTTTGTCATTTGTGCTTTCAGTGTTAGGAAATATCTCTGAGAGTTTCTTTATTGTGAAGTTTTTCACTTCCTCTGGGACACGGTCATCCTTTTCCTACATCTCCTTTCCTCGTTTATGTCAATAAGCTCACGTTCACAGAATTCCTCTGCCTGCTCTTCCGGAGTCTCTCCAATGTTCCCACGGTCAAATTTCTTCTGTGACTCTCTTTACATTTGTTCAGATTTCACTTCCCGTGTTGCCAGTTCTTGTTTCTTTGCTGGACTTTCACCTTTGTTGGCTATTTTTATGGACTGTCACTGGTAGACAAGGAGGCAACTCTATTCCATGCTTTGCTCTCTGTTAACTGAGTAAGAGAAGCGCAGTGAGCCTCAGGTACACACTGAAAGCTGTGAAGTGCTGGCTGCTGGTCGGGACTGCTCGTCTGTCACTCACATGGTGACCTGTGGACTGAGGAGCTAGCAGCCACGTGTGAGCTCTGTGCGCGTACTCATTGCGTACCATGGAGACTGGAGTCTGAACCCTGTTGTTGGGGGACTGGTGTCTCGCTAAACCGTGGTAACTGAAAGTCACGCGTGTGGAAACCATGAAAAGCGGAGATTGCCCATATGTGGAAACATCCACTTAGCAAGTATTTGGGGAGCTGTTTGACGCAAAACTTCAAAATGGATGTGAGGTATGTAGACTAGAACAAATGGAATGAAATCCAGTGTTCAAAAGTTTGTTTCAGGGGCTTCCCTGGTGGCGCAGTGGTTGAGAGTCCGCCTGCCGATGCAGGGGACGCGGGTTCGTGCCCCGGTCCAGGAAGATCCCACGTGCCCTGCGCGTCCGGAGCCTGTGCTCCGCAACGGGAGAGGCCACAACAGTGAGAGGCCCGCGTATAAAAAAGTTTGTTTCAAAAGTAGTTAACTGTTTTAAAAGAGCAGATGTATTTATGAGTAAATCTTTGAGATATTATTGTAAGATGGGACTTCAGGACTGGGTTTGGAAGTGTATTCTTGTTTACACAGTCTTTGCTGACTTGTGTAAGAGCAGATGTTATTTTCAGTTTAAGTTGGAACTCAGCAAAGTTTGAAACTACAGAAGGGGAGAGAGGTCCTTATGGCTTGTATAGGTCCTTATACATATATGGGAATAGTAGTGCTCATGGAAAGTACATTATGAATCATTTAGGCTCTAGGCAAAGTATATTTTATAGATGAGCGCTATCTAGATATGAAATGACTTTCACAAGATTATTTAGCTAGATGCTGAGTCCAGAGCTAGTTTCTTGATTACAGGTTCTTTGATTCTGCTTCTGTATCACGCTGTGTTCTATAAACTTTTTGGTTGCTTCATGTAAGTGGAATCATACAGCATTTGTCTTTGTGACTTATTTCTCACCATAATACTCTCTAGGTCCATCCATGTTGTCGCAGATGGCAAGATTTCATTCTTTTTTATGGCTGAATGGTATTACAGTGTATTTGTGTGTGTGTGTGTGTGTGTGCACGCACGTGTGTGCACCTTCCACATCATCTTTATCCATTCATGTATTGATGGGAACTTACGTTGCTTGCATATCTTGGCTATTGTGCATAATGCTGCAGTGAACATAAGGGTGCATATATCTTTTTGAAATAGTGCTTTTGTTCTCTTCGGATAAATAGCCAGGAGTAGAATTGCTGAATTGTATGGTAGCTCTATTTTTAATTTTTTGAGGGCCTTCCGTACTGTTTTCCATAGTGGCTGCACCAATTTACATTCCCACCAACAGTGCACAAAGGTTCCGTTTTCTCCACATTCTTGACAACTTGTTTTTTGTTGTCTTTTTGATGACAGCAGTTCTGACAGGTGTGAGGTGGTGTCTCATTGTGGTTTTGATTTGCATTTCCCTGATGATTAGTGATGTTGAGCACCATCTTTTCACGTGCCTGTTGGCCATCTGTGTGTCTTTGGAAAGATGTCTTATTCAGATCCTCTGCCCATTTTTTAAATCAGGTTGCTTTTTTGGATGTTGAGTAGTATGAGTTCTTTGTATATTTTGGATATTAATCCCTTATCAGACGTAGTGTTTGCCAATGTCTTCTCCCATCCTGTTGGCTTCCTTTGTGTTATGTTGATAGTTTCCTCCACCGTGCCAAGCTTTTAGTTTGATGTAGTCTCATTTGCTTATTTTTGCTTTTTTTTCCCCTTGCCTGAGGAGACATCCAAAAAATTATTGCTAAGACTGATGTCAAAGAGCATACTGCCTAAGTTTTCTTCTAGAAATTTTAAGGCTTCAGGTGTTACATTTAAGTCGTTGATGGATTTTGAGTTTACTTTTGTGTGTGGTGTGAGGGAGTAGTCCGGTTTGATTCTTGTGCATGTAGCTGTCCGGTTTCCCCAGCACCATTTATTGAAGTCACTGTCTTCATTGTATGTTCTTGTCTCCTTTGTTGTAGATTAATTGCCCACATAAGTGTGGGTTCATTTCTGGTTTGCCCGTCTTAAAAAATTTGCGTTATTTGTCTCTTTATTGTTGAGTAGTAAGAGTTCTTATATATTCTAGATACAAGTTCCTTATTAGATGTACGGTTTGTAAATATTTTCTCTCTGTAGGTTTTTTGGTTTTTTTGATGGTATCCTTTGAAACCCCAAAGTTTTAAATTCTGATAAAGTCCAATTTATCTATTTTTTTCTACTTTATTAAGATGAAAAGTCTGGCTTTTGGTATGTACTTCATCGTCTACCTGACTCTTTGTTTTAAAAACATCATGTTGACATATGTAAGTTCTAAGTGATGGTCTGGTTATGATTATTATACAGGATTATCACATGACAGAGGGTAGGAGTCTAAGCCCTGCCTTGCCAGGTGTGAGGTTTAATGTTACATTAACAGAGTTATATAGCCAGATAGCAGGCATGCTTCAAGCAGTTTATTCTTTGTATGTAATTATGCCATAGATTTTTTTCAGTCTAGTGACTGGAATGTTACTGAAAAGTACCAACAATGCATAGCTTGGTTTACTGTTTGTTATTCATGGTAGTGTCACCTGCTAACTAAATTATCAGTTACAGCTTACTAAACAGTATTGATGTAAGTGGTTGTTTCCTGAGAGGATATACTTAAGTTATTGAAAAGTTTTAAATTTTCTCAAGTGTTCACCCTGCCAGCAGTGACTTGGCGGGATACTTCCTTTGCTTCTAACTGCAGCTCCCTGGTGCCACAGGAGAGCCCCTGTACCCTGTAGGTGGTCTCCGGGAGGGAGAGGGGGAGGTGTGCCAGTCCTCACTCCACTTGGAAGTTCCTGCTGGAGAGGAAGCAGAGTATGTTGTGGTTCACCTAGCTTTCTGCCACTCCCGAGCTTATTCTCAGGGAGGCATTCCTTCTGAGTTCTGAAGTAAACATTGCTCGCAGGTTTCCTGGAGAATATTAAGTAACTCGGTTCTCCCTGGTTAGTCTGCCTCATTGAGATAGCAGTAGTGTTCTGAGCAAAATCTCTTGAGGTAGCTTATTGCATTTGAATGCGTCCACCTACATGGTTGTCCTCACCCATCACCACCGCCAAGATGCTAGGGAAAGGATTCAGTGTTCAGAATCGGCATCACCTGCTTCAGGACTGGCCCGTAAGTGTCGACAGAAAGGTTGAAAGTAAGCGTCTGCCATAAACGCACCACGTGTTTATTGAGTGCCTCCGATGTTGTCATTTCCTTATGGTGCAGTTTCTATATGAGTGATTTAATAATGAGAAAACAAATGGCTCAAGTCAAATCTAGCTTTCCCCCTTTGTGTATGATGATGTTTTACTTTTAAATTTTGTTTTGAGTTTACTTTTCTGAAGTGAAGCGGTACTAAAAGGATATTTTGTGTTCAAATACTTTCATTAAATAAACACATGAAGCTGCATATTTTCTCCTTACCTGAGTTAGTATACAGCACATAGGCCGTAAGAAGAGTTGCAGAATTTTGGGGGAGTGGCTGGGGACAGAGTGGTTTTGGCTGTCACCTAAAGAGTACCAGTAGCATGGTTCACATTCTACTGCACATAATGCAGCTTCCATACCACGGGTTCGAGGCACTTTGCAAATCCTTTAATCCAGAGGATTTGTGTTTGAAGGTATAGTACAGATGCTTCAGATGTACGTTTGATTTGAAATTTTTTTCAGATTTATTTTCATCTGCCATATTTCATCAATTCTAAGACAAATTTTAATATCTGAAATGGATATATGGCTTCAAACAGTGATTTATTCCTATGATTTGGGGGCTGACTGTGTGGTTTTGCCAGTCTCCCTTCACCTGACGGTGGGCTGGGCCTTGTGCCCAGGTGCCTTGGTTCTAGTCCGCATGGCCACTCCAGGTGCTCTGTTTGGACTTCCTCGCATCCCAGTAGTGTCTGGGAGGTCAGAATTTGTATGGTGGTTGGCTTCCAAGAAAACCAAACAGAAGCTATAGGGCTCTGACGAGGCTCGTCCCAGCCCAGAACCGCACCAGCATTGCGTTCTGTCAAACAAGTGGCAAGGCCAGCCCAGAGTCAGGGGGAGGGGAGTAGCCCTGGCCTCTGACCAGGAGGGCGCGTGCCTGGAGACAGGAGACAGGTTGTTCACAGCTGGCTACACTCCCTGTGCTTTGTTCTTGAGGGTGGATTTCACAGACTGGAGTATAAATCAAAGTGTATAAATATTTTAAAATTCTTGTTATATTTTGTCAAATTCCCTCTTCAGCAAGGTGTAGTCAATTTCCAGTGATGTGTAAGGATGGATAAATGTAGTCTATCCACTGTCTTGCCGGCATTGTGTTTACTGTGCTTTTAATTTTATTTTTTGATGGGAGTACAGTAATGTCATTTTTTTTTTTTAAGGCTGCATGTTTTTCTTATTTTCTCTTTTGGTTCATTTTCTTTTTTTTTTTTAACATCTTTATTGGGGTATAATTGCTTTACAATGGTGTGTTAGTTTCTGCTGTATAACAAAGTGAATCAGTTATACATATACATATGTTCCCATATCTTTCCCTCTTGTGTCTCCCTCCCTCTGGTTCATTTTCTTGTTGGATTATCAGTTGTATTTCATATCTGTCTATGAAATACATATTATCCATTTACTACTTCAGTGTAACTGGTTATTGATGATATAGAGATTTAATATTTTAAAAATCAACTTAAAATTTTTATACCTTATGTTTATTACTTTTTCCCTTTTGCTTTTTTTGCTTTTTGTTTTTGACTTCTTAGGAAAGGGTCATGTCTGATGTTCTGAAACAGTCCTCCAGATGGAATTCAGGAATCCTAAACTTGGGAGGAGCTTTAGGAATAACGTGGTTCCGCAAGGGTTCTGAAGCTGAGGATGGAGGTGGGGCAGAGACCTGGGGACAGGATTTCTCCTTTCTCTCCAGTCCAGCCGGACCCCTCCTGAAGTAGGCTTCTATGTGCGGGTCAGTGAGCTGGGTTGGGGTGGGCTCATGTAGTTTAGTCCCACATTTTACATCAAAGTACGCAGAGTGGAAGAAAAAGACACTTTACCCAAAGTCACCTGTCTAGTTTTGTGATAGAGCAAAACTACTGCTTTAGGAAACTTTCCTTTTTTGTCATCTAAATGCCTCTCATACGCTGTGATTTCTGTGTCTTGCTGCCCTGATAGGCTGTCGACTCCATGAGGGCTGGGACTGTCAGTGTGAGATCCCACGGCCTAGCACAGTTTCTAGCTCGTGCTTGATGTTTAGTTTTGGTTATTGGAAATAAATAAAATCACAGAATTACAACAATAAAACGAACCACATTTTTCTTAGTGGAGGCATTTAAAGTTTTTTTCCCTGATTGCTCTTTCATCACAGCCGATGTTGTTCTCCCCTCTGCCCTCCTGTCCTTGAAGTCTGTGCTTAAACCCCTCCCTTGATCTTCACCGCCGCAGGTGAAGTCTGAATTTGCAAGCACACCTGCCCTTCCAGGCAGTTTCTGGCTCTTTGCTCATTTATCCTCAACTGCCAGGATCTCCGTGAATGTTACCAGTTTCCTCCCAGAGTTGTACCAGTTTATGCCAACCTCAGCAGTGAATGAGCCTCCATCTCTACATCTTCGTCAAACCAAGTATTGCCAGACTTAATATTTGTCAGTCTGGTGGAGAGTCATTATGGTTTAATTCATGTTTCCCCTGATTACTGTTGAGGTTGAGCACCCTTTTTATATGTTTATTGTACATCCCTGTTTCCACTCCTGTGAACCTCCTTATTCACTGTTTTGTTTTCCTCGTTGAATCATAGGATGAATTCTTTGTATATTTTGGATGCTGACATTTCCTGGTTATGTTCCTCATAACAGTTTGTGGCTCTTTTGTCAAGTTGGTTTTTAAATTTTAGTCAAGTTTATCAATCTTCTGGTTTGTGCTTTTTTAAAAGAAATCCTTTCTTATATCCCAAGGTCGGAGGATATCATATATTTTCCTAAAGTCTTATGTTTTGCTCTTCACATTTAGGCATTTAATACGCCTAGGATTGATTTTCATGTATGCTGTGAGATAGGGATCGAATTTATTTTTCCATGTGGATAAAATTTTCTAACATCATTTACCGAACAGTCCAGTCCATTCTTTCCCTATTTTTTTGTTTTGAAATAATTTCAGGTTTACAGAAAAGTTACATGAACAGTATGAGGAAATCCTACCCCATGCTAATTAAGATTTTTGCATGTGCTTGCGTGTGTACTCTCTTTCCCTCTTTCCCCGCCCCGCCACAGACACATTTTTTTTAATGAACCATTTGAGAATAAGTTATAGACATGCCCCTCTTCGCTGCTAAATACTTCACTGTGTATGTACTGAAGTCCAGGACGTTCTCTTACTTGACAATATAATTATCAAAATCAAAAAATTAACTTTGATACCGAACTTTTATCTCTGGGCCCTGTTCAGACTGCCAGTTTTCCGCTAATGTTCTTTAAAGCAAAATAATTACATATATATTTTTCTGGTACATGATTCAAGATTGGTCTTCTTTTAGTGTGGATTCCTGCTGACTCTTTCTTTCTTTCTTTTTGATGTGGACCATTTTTTAAAGTTTTTATTGAATTTATTGCAGTATTGCTTCTGTTTTATGTTTTGGTTTTTTGGCCACAAGGTGTGTGGGATCCTAGCTCTGACCAGGGACCGAACCTGCACCCCCTGCTTTGGAAGGCAAAGTCTCAACCTCTGGATTGCCAGGAAAGTCCCCCTGCCGACTCTTAATGCTGCCTTTGTTACATATCCTGTTTTCATACATGCATGTATCTGTTTGGGGGCTTTCTTTTTCATTAGTTTGTCGATTCTTGCACTGACTTCACATTATCTTAATTACTTTCTTTGGCTGATGGGGAAGTCTGAATATCTAGGGAAGTTATCCCCTCTGTTTTCTTTTTCTTTAAAAGTTTTCTCCAAACTCCTGCTCCTTAAGTTTTCCATAAGAATATTAGGACTCTTTGTTCTGTTCCAAGAACAGTGCTATTGGAATTTCAGTTTAAATTGTAAGAATCTGTGGATTAGTTTGAGGAGAACTTATGTATTTGCAGTGAGTTTCTCATGTAGGCAGATGGCTCTGTTTATTCAGTTTTTTGACATTCTTTGCTTATGTTTTTTAATTTTCCCCACTGACGTCCTGAATATTTTCACCTACTCTCTTCCTGAATGGTTTCTTTTATGTTGCACCTGGAGAGTTTCTTCTTCAAGGAGACCTTCCTTGTCTGTTCTTTGGGGTTGGTTGTCCTTCCTAGGTGTCCCCAGAGGATGTTTTACTTTGTGTTGTTCTCTCTCTTTAACTGTCCTCCTCTCATAGACTGTAAACTTCTTGAGGGCAAACAAAGGTTTTGGTCCTCCTGGTATCAAGTGCCTAGCATAGTAACTACGTCCAGTAGTCAAAGGTTTATTGAGTGAAGGGATGAATTAATGTAGAAGTAATGGATATGATCAAATAGGTTTCCCAGTGCTTTGATGCCTAATGCATGTTCCTCTGCATGTGGTGTTTTCCTAATTTTGTTTCATCCCATTAAGGAAGAAAAGAATGTTAAAACCAAACAAATAATTTGAGTCTTAAATTTCTGAAAAATTAGAAAATATTATTCACAGAGAGCTTTTATAAATGCTTCTGTTAATATATAATTTTAAGCAATGCAAAATCAGAAGGTAAGTCCCTATTTCTTAGACTTGAATTTTAAAACTCTCTTTATGATGTTTTTGTTTATATAGTGAATTGCAACAGTATGTATATTTTGAAAAATATGTGTTTTAAGTCGTACACATTCTGAAGTTTCCCTGCTTTCTTTTTTATTTTCTGAAGTATGCAGTATACAGTAATGGAAACAGTTGTACTCATGCTGAGAAATGTGAATTTCACTTTTGACTCAGCTACTGGCTTGCCATGATCCTGAGTGAGTTACTTCGTGTCTTTGATCTTTGTGAAAATGTGGATATATCTGCCCATCATACCTCAAAAGATATTTCCCTTATTCAGTTAGATGACTGTATGGGAAAGTACTTTGAAAAATACAAAATGACAGTTATATTATTTCCCTGGGTAGGGAAATATTTGCCTTCGCGCACACCCAGGTGTGTGATACATGGAAAGACTTTTTTTACCAGCGTTCAGAGCAGGATTTATTTTTGGCAGTTGCCCCCACAGCTGGTCATGACATGTTCCTCCTCCCATCAGATTTGCAGGGCCAGGGATGTGCGTGCCATCCAGGACTGAGGGGAGGGAGTGAGAGTAATGGCGGGCAGCTTGGGCTTTGAGACTTGTTCCCTCCTCGCCTCCCCCACTCGCTCTCCATGTTTTCAGGGTGAACCTTGCAAAATCACTTTCTGTTGATCACAGAGATGCCTGAACATCAGCAGTTTCACTCATGTGGCCCAACCTAGTAGTTTAAGCCTTAATTTTCTTACTTAGTGAAATGGTGATGTTAAAACAACATAAGGTAAAATTTAATGCTTCTGCCTGTAAAGCTTTTAGCAAATGTCTGTCACATAGGAGGTGCTCAATAAATATGTCCATTTTAACTAAGTCAGCCTGCTGGGAGTTTGCGGGGACTCCGAACTCCCAGAGTGGGATGGGAAGCAAGCACTCAGATTACAAGTGGGACTGTTCAGGAGTTCCATCTTAGCAGCGTGCCTCCTCAGGTGTGTCGAAGGGTGACAGAAGCCCAAGCGCCTAAGAGAACTCTGCAGGGGCAGTTACGCAGCCTGGCCGGCCCATAAGCTGGGCGCCCCGACACTCCCTCCCCTAACCTACCACCGCCACTCTGGGCGTGTAGTGCGGGGAGCCGGGGTGTTCGTGAGGACCAGCTACCTAGGGCTGGAAAGCAGATAAGATGGAAGAAATTCATTCTGTTTGTATGGGGGTTTTCCTTTCATTTCTGTAGGTGATGATGATTCACCTGGTCAAACAGTGTGAAAGGGTGTCCAGTGAAGTCCTGCCCACCCCGTTCCCCAACATGACTAATATTATTCGCCAGGACATTTGAAAATGGTACTTGATTATGCTTATATAGAAACATGTTTGTAAGTGAGGAAAAGAGCAAGTTACAAAATTATGAGTCATGATATCATTTGGGAAAAAACACAGAAACCATATATTACTATATATCGAAAGTAATCTGGAAAGAAAGAACACTGAAATGTTCATAGTTATTTATTTTTGGGTTTGCTACATCCCAGAGTGTAGAACTGGAATTCACCTGGCCCTCTTCAAAACTATACCACCTCATCTTTTTTTTTTTTTTTTTTTAGTGTTATCAGAGCTTTCTTAATTTAGATGGTTGGTTGCAAAGTGATGTTAAATTTGCTTTGCTGTTATTTCTTATGTTTGTGTGGATAGATTGACAGATTTATTACTGTTTAAGGTTTTATTTGGGCTTTTTTCCTTATAACTGAAAAAAGTAAAAATATTTATGAGTTATAATTGTGAAATCCATGTTCCTAATAAACAGCATTTCAAGACTCATTCTAGTTTTTATTTGGCAGTTTTTATGCCTTTACTTTTGATATTGTGGGAATTAAAGTTACATTTTTAGGAATCGGATAGCCTTGAGATTAAAAACTGGAAGCATGTTTTCTAGGTTGTATGCATTCAGCATTTTGCTTTTGAATAATATTATTTTGGGTCTTACGTCTTATGAATGGAGGTTCATTGTAATGTAGTAAGGAGGAGACTAGATTAGTGGATGCCTGGAGACTTGGGTTTTTGACTTGGTTTGGTAACTAACTGGTAGTTAAGTGACTTTAGGATTATCACCTAACTTTTCCTGGTGAGAATTTTCTTTTCTCTAAAGAGTTAGGTTTTGGACTGGATGGTCTCTGAGGATTTTTTTCTTTTAATGAAGATCCCAGACTAAGGGATTAAAGTATTTAAAACTATTAAACAACAACAGTAATAACAACAACATGCACACATATACACGCATAGGAAAAAGGCAAGCAGAACTAATAGAAGGCGGCTCAGACATGGCAAGAGATCCAGAGGGCAGCTTATGTACACACTGCAACACTCACAGACCAACATCCCCATCTCATGGTGTTTTCTCTTCACAGACATTAGTGCTTGGTTGAAATAAAACCAGAGTACTCTAGCCCTGAATTTAAAAATATAGCTCACTGGTGTTTGTTTTGAGTCTTATACTTTAAAAACAAAATAATCTTAGCTGCTATAATCTTTTAAATGTTAACATTGCCAATAACTGATCCATTAATCTTGGAACTGTTTCCCCAAAATGCAGCATAGAGAAATGGTGAAAAGTTTAGCAGTCACTAGGTTTATCACTTTTATGGCACTTATGTAAAAAGAAACATTACTTTTACATTGTTTACTTTGTAGTTTTGGATGCGCATAAAGCTCACCTGACTGAATTGTTAATAAAAAGGAGGCAACAAAATTCAACACAAATTTAGAATTTTTCTTCGGGAATGACTTCATAATGGTAAGGGTAATCAGGGTCCTTTAAGAAGCCTTTAAAAAGCAAGTCAGTAGCAATAGATGGTGGAGATTCTGACTGTGCAGCTGCAGGGAAGAGCAGTTGTCCCAGTGTTATGTGCATAGAAACTTAGAGCTCAGGGGACTGTTTCCTGGGGGCCAACCTTCAGGACTGTACAGAGAGCTTGAATTCTCCCAAAACGTAGATGGAGGTGAATGGAAGTTTTTTGTAATTTTATTTAATATGGACACTAAACTGGTCATAGTCAACATTTATTCTGTTTAAGATAGATACCTTGTTTAATTTTCACAGTGGTTCTTTGGAGCAGAAGCCACCGTGGTCTCCCTTTTATAGATGAGAAAACGGGGCCGGGGCCCCTGTCTGGGAGGCAGCGGCACTGGGAGCTGGCCTTGGGCAGCACCCACGATGCTGCCGGGATGGCTCGCTGTATAACCCACCGGTTAAGAGAGTGACTTTGGTCTAGAAACTGGGTTTTAATACTGGATCTGCCGCTTGTATGTGTGTGTGTGTGACCTTGGGTAGGTCACTTACTCTTCCAAACTTCAGTTTCTATAACTGTAAAATGAGTGCTTTTAGGATCAAATGGGATAATTTATTTAAAATAGCACACAGTGTACCCTGAACAAATGGTTATTACTAGTTATTGTAGTTGTGATAATGAGTACTCTTGTTTTTGTGATTTATAACAGCCCCATATTTCTGTGGCCTAAGATTTTCAAGCCTTTTTTATGAAGCACAGTACATTAAGTGGCTAGTTTTTTTTTAATATAATTTATTTTATTTTTGGCTGCGTTGGGTCTTCATTGCGGTGCGCAGGCTTCTCATTGCGGTGGCTTCTCTTGTTGCGGAACACAGGCTCTAGGCGCACGGGCTTCAGTAGTTGTGGCTCGCAGGCTCAGTAGTTGTGGCGCACGGGCTTAGTTGCTCTGTGGCATGTGGGATCTTCCCGGACCAGGGATCGAACCCGTGTCCCCTGCATTGGCAGGCGGATTCATAACCACTGCACCACCAGGGAAGCCCCGTGGCTAGTGTTTTTAAGTTACAGTACTTATTGGCTTTCCATTATTTGTCCAGAAGCATTACTACAAATTCGTAACTGAAAGAGATGTTTTAGTTTCAGCAAGAGAGATAAGTTATACAAAATGACAGTCGCCTTAAAAAAGACGTCACTTTTTTTCCTGCCTCATGATTGTCTGTGTGCTTGCATGTGAGAGGGAGGGAGGGAGGGAGAGAGGCGGTGCTCCAGAGCCAGAAGGAGAGGGTCCTGATTTTTTTCAAGACTTGTGCAGTGGGCCTGGAGGGTGTTTCATGCTAGATGCTATTGAGAACACAGAAAACCACAGGGTCCATCCTCTAGAGAGGCCAGGCCAGTGATCCTAGGATAGGTTGTGATAAAGTGCACAAATCATGGTTGGTTCCAGGGGTTGGAGGTCAGAATGGTGGCAAAGACCAGGTTCAGTGAGAGTGAGGGAGTAGGGACCGTGAAAGGCTGGGGGTTCTAGGCAGAGAGGAACATTTCTGTGGTAAGACTTTAGAAATAAGTAGAATGAGGAGGTCTAAAGAAGTGGAGGTGTGAGAAAGGCTGTTGGATTGTGAAACTGTTGCTGGGTTGGGCCCAGATGAGAAGGACGTGTCTTAGGAAACATCCAGGAGGCTGGCTTTCCAGCCTCCAGCCTGCTGATGGGGGAGACGGGGCCCCCTGGTTATTAGGCAGCCAGCAGACTGGCTCAAGACCGAGGGTGGGGTCAGCATTCTCAAAATAGTACCTCTTAGTGCGTTTTTACAGATGGAACATAATTCTCTTCTTTGAAGATTACTGGAGAGTACATGCTAATGAAATGGAGCTTTTATGGACTTCCTGGTCACGCCTGTTTATTCGATGTCGTGTTCTTGGCTGAGGAACAGGAGTCTCAGTTATGGAAAAATAATGACTTACGATGATTCCCTTATGATTGATTTATGTCAGTTTAAAACTGATTGCTTAGGAATTTATATACATGTTCTGTACTGCTGTTAATGTTTGGAACAGTGCTTTCTTTAGCGTTTTCATTTTGAAGGGTTTTTAGATTCAGCATTTTTGGGGGCAGAATGCTTTTTAAAGGGAATTTTGTCTTTTTGGGAAATAATTTTTAAAGGTTAATTTGGGAAAAGCTGAATTTGAATATGTGTAGCCCTTATAATTATGAGCTTTTTACATTGACATTGACATTCTTTTGTATAGGCGTTAAAGTTCCTCGTAATTTTCGCTTGTTGGAAGAACTTGAAGAAGGACAAAAAGGAGTAGGCGATGGTACGGTTAGCTGGGGCCTGGAAGATGATGAAGATATGACACTTACAAGGTGGACAGGCATGATTATTGGGCCACCAAGGGTCAGTGCTATAAATTACATATTTTTTTCTATTAATATTTATTGTCACTTTAGAGTAAGCATTTTATTTTATAATATTGATATTAAAATAAATAATTATGATAACTTTAACTGAAACACTTCCTCACCTTTTATTTATTTTGTATACATTTATTGATGCTTGATTTTCTGGAGGATTGGGGGGAAAAGACCGATACAATCATTGCTGCCAAAGTGTTTGCAGTTGAGTAGAGGAGAAGAAATGAACACAAATGATAGATTCTGAATATGGCAGAGAAAGTTCACTGCGGGACTTTAGAATATGTTTCTTCTAGCTGGAATAATTGAGGAAAGCTGAACAGTGGAGGAAGTTGCCTTTGGAATGAGCCTTAAAGGACTGGCTGGTAGGATTTCAGAAGGTGGTGATGGGGATGGAGAACATTCCAGATAGAGAGGAGAAAAGGTGAGGAAATGGAGGGGTATTTGGGAAGAGCAAAGAGTGTATTTTGATGTAACATGTTACTAACCTGCTGTGTGTGTCATCAGGGTTTCTAAATTGGTTTGTGTTGAGTGCCCATTGCTGTTGGCCAGTGACAGTTGACTCGCCATGGAAATGTTCTGGCCTCCATGTTTTCATCTATAAAATATGTAGACGAGGCTGATTCTTGCATGTTTTCTAGCATTGCTGGCAACAGACCTGTTGTTTTATTCTTAGGTCTTTCTCAAGTTTATGACTTTCTATTTTTACTCAAAATCTTTTTCAGACTCTGGGAAATTTTTTTCTGCGTTGCATTCCTTACTCAAAGGCCCCATTTACTGCGCACCCTGCAGTGACTCTTGGAAATATGTATTGTATGTTTTTTGACTTGTTGGAAAGAACACAAATATGAAGGTTTTCTTAGTCTTTGGTTTTGTATATTGTTTGCTGCCTGTGATGGGAGCATTTCAACTGTTTTGCTGTTAGGTAGAGTTTAGATTTCCTCTTTATTTTTTCTAAAAGGAAAATGGTCAGGTAATTAGCAATGCTAACTTTAGAGAATGAATTAATGCATGTTTTGCATTTTCTGGTGCTGCTTTGCAGAACTTGTGCGCTCTGCTAAACTAGCAAGTGCCCCCTCCCTCCAGCGCTCTGATGCCTCCCTAAGACACGCGAGGGAGGAAACAAATCCTGACGGTTAGAGTTCTTGATGTTTGTAACTTGGCATTTGTAATGAAAACCTCGATTTTCACTGCCTGTGGACAGTATCACCATATGGTCTTTTTGGTAAAAGTGAGTGCTTACAGTAATGAGCATTCTTATCTAATGAACAGCTTGAAGATTGGACAGTCTGAGCTGGGTGGAGTATACATTCGAAATGATTTACATTTGGTTTTTCTCCCGTCGCTACTTCTAAGAGACTTTAAGAGTGTTTTGGAGTTTGTGCATAAGACCCCCCATGATTTTGTGGGCTGCCCTGTAACCTAGTTCACAAGTCTCTCTCACCCGGTTGGGGTCATCAGCAGGACCCCCGAACTAGCTGTTTCCTGGTGTCACTGAACCACAGGAAGCTCGCTGGGTTGCTGTGCCCAGTGGGAGCCAAGGCTGCTGTAGGGTCGGATGGGGCTAGGCCTGCTTGCAGGGGGCGCAGAGACAGGATGCTGCCCCCTGCCGCTTTCTGCTGGTGGGGGTTGTCTTGGAGCCCCTTCCCCTTTCTGTGGAGCGGGAGGCACCCCTGAGAGGCCCTGTCCTTCCAGCCAGGCTTTCCAGCCAGGCTTCCCCGCCTGCTGAGGCCTGGGGGGCTGGGTGAGAGTGGGCGGTCCCAGCACTCATTCAGCTGCTCAGCTGCCTTTTAATAAAACCTGCAGGGGCGGCATCTCAGCTTAGTTGGTTTTTCTTTGGAAGGTGCCAGATTCAGAACAATTTTGTCCCCAGCTTTAGGGTAACAGGAGAATTCCTACCTCAGCATTCTGTTACTTGGTTAGTTGTTTCTCGGTTTTTTATATGTTTTTTATATGTTACTAAGATCCCTGGTTTTTTATGTTTTTCCACTATTTATTTGGATTTATATAATTAGCGATTTTGTTTTTCCATATATGTTTGTGTATTAAATTTTCTAAGCAGTATTTTTTAGCATTAGATGTTTAGTAACATTTCCAAGTTTCCTTATATGTATACTTACTTTAGAAGTTTTGAGAATTAAATGAATTAATAATTAGACAATAAGAGAGTATGTGTAGTACATAATTAATAAACATTAGTTCCTTTTACTACTCTCTTTTCTGTCACTCTTTTGTTAGACAACAGAAAGACTTGGCTGTTAATTTAAAATTCAAGGGTGATGAAATTAATCAAAGGTACCAAAAGTTAGGATGTTTAATCATTGTAGGCTAGCTTAGATTGAGGTATAATTTGCATATAGTGAAATGTATAGATATTATCATGATTTTCGACAAATGGAGCCTGTTACCCGCACCCATGTCAAGATACAGAACATGTCTGTGCCGCCAGAAATTCCCTGTGCCCCTCCCCGCCCTGCCCCAGTCACTACTCCCTACCCCCTAGAGTAGTCTTGTGTGTTGTAGGACTTCGTGCCAGTGGAATCGTGCAGTGTGTGTGCTTAGAGGCCCGCTTCTTTTGACTTGGCATATAATGTCTCGGGATCAGCTGTGTTGTTCCAAGAAGTGGGTAGTGGTGTGTTTCACAGAGATGCCACAGTGTGCTTATCGCTTCTCCTGATCACAGTACTCCCTGCCCATTACAAGTAAAGCTGCTGTGATTACAAGTCTTCTTGTGAACATAGGTTTGTTTCCATTTCTCTTGGATAAAATGCCTAGGAATGGAATTCCTACTTGGTAGGGGAGGTGTGTGCTTATTTATCTTTATAAGAAAATGCCATATTGTTTCCAAAATGATTATACCATTCCCTACAACCAGCAAAGTATGAGAGTTCTAGTTGTTTCCATGTACTTTGAGTATTTTTAACAGTATGGAATTTCTCAGGGGCTATTTAAGAAAAATTTTTTTTCCTTTTTTTTTTATTGAAGTATAGTTTATTTACAATGTTGTGTTAGTTTCAGGTGCACAGCAAAGTGATTCAGTTATACATACATATCTATTTTTTTTCAGATTCTTTTCCCTGGTAGGTTATTACAAAATATTGAGTATTGTTTTCCCTGAGCTCTACAGTAGGTCCTTGTTGGTTATCTATTTTATGTATAGTACTGTGTATCTGTTAACCCCAAACTCCTAATTTACCCCTCCCCCTGCCACTTTCCCCTTTGGTGACCATAAGTTTGCTTTTTATGTCTGTGAGTCTGTTTCTGTTTTGTATATAAGTTCATTTGTATCATTTAAAAAAATTATTATTATTTTTAACGCAAGTTTTCTAGAGAGGCTGCTGTGCATGTGATTGGAGAACGACAGACCAGATGATTTCCTTGACCTTTAGTCCTGTTTAAACCTCTCCAGGTCCTGGGCATATTATTAATATATGTTTGCTGTTAAACTTGGATGAGTTTTATCCAGCTGTTTCTTTTTTAAAATATTGAAATATATAATAATATATGTATAAGATTGTTGTATACATTTTAAATTACGGTAGTTTAATAACCCAGACCTGACCTCCACTTGGGAGAACTCTTACTTAAGGGAGAGGAAGCTGTGGATCAGTTGGGGTAAGTGAAATCTATAGATGGTTAACTTCTTTTTTCCCATGTTTATACAGGAATCAACAGGTATGAAATTTGTCACTTCCATTTATTTTTTTACTTTCTTGTTTTAATTGAACACTAATAAGTTTACCTAGTGAACAGAAGCCATAAGGATAAAGAAGAGTTTATTATAGGCATGAAAGTAAGCCTTGAAAAACCTAAAAGCATTAAGTCTGGTAGCTTTAAAATGGCTGTTTTATAATATGGTAATGTTCAACTTCTCGATTAAGAAACCCTGTTTTTAAATGATGTGGAAAAATAAAAGTTGGGTATTGTATCTCTGAATTTAGATAATGGAATTTAATGGACAACAAAATTAATGAAGTAGTAATGTAAATGTAACTAACAAGAGGCATGAATTAATTGTTCTAGTGCTGGACAATGGTATAATATGGTGTTTATACCAGAAGATATATTGATTGCTGTATAAATGGGGTAACCATATAATTTATTGTCCAGCCAGACCCTTTTGAGAATGAAATGAAGTATTATTAATAATTAATACAGGAGCAGTAAGAATAAACAGAATTGTCCTGGAAAAATGGGAACCTTTATATATGTGTGACACAGGTCAAGCCACAATATGGACTTTTTAGTAAAATCTGAATTTAAGTGGTCTGTTTTTTCCTTTTAATTTGTTATAGGCATTGTCTGTGCCACAAAAGCAAGTTCTGATCATTTTGATATTACTTTGTAGAATTATTTAATTTTGTAAAATCTCTACTTTTAAGTGTGCTTGCTGCCTTTTTTCTAGCCATATAGATCAAATAAATGCATAGAAAAGTAAATTCTTGATCATACAAGTGGTAATATTAAGTACATTTATATTGTACTTCCCCTCTTGATTAGCACTTCAATATTATTATTATTATTTTTGCCTTCCAGACAAATTATGAAAACAGAATATATAGCCTGAAAGTAGAATGTGGACCTAAATACCCAGAAGCACCTCCATCAGTTAGATTTGTAACCAAAATTAATATGAATGGAGTAAATAATTCCAGTGGAATGGTAAGTTAAAGTAGTCATTTTATTCTTACATAACCTATAAATATATAGTCAGGAGAATGTTAAAACAACAACAACAAAAGCACCTTTGTTTAGCGGAAAGTCTAAAACAGTTTATCTCATGTTGTTTTTCTCTTTTGAATGGACCTTTCCTTAAGAACCTTTATGTACTAGCCTAGATAGGGGTGAGGGTTTTATTAATTGCTTCAGTAGTCATATTTCAGCTGAATCCTTGTTTGGTGATAAGAAAGTCATTATTTCTGTTTGAATTAACATTTTTCTTTAGGGTTAAGGTACATTGGTGAGATTAAAAGGATGGATATTCATGAAGAGGAGGTTTTTCTTTGAGGAACAAGTATGTCTGTACGGGAACAGACAGTCGTGGTTGAGCATGGTTGTTTAAAGCAAATAAATCAAAATGATGTGCTCTGCCTGACTCACAGAAGGAAGTGAGCGGAAATAATTTCCAGTACGAGTCTTAGGTTCATACGAGTACTAGAACTTGAAGCGAAGGCTCTTGAGGTGCTGTGTTGAGAGCACCCTCACATGCAGAATACGTGTTAGGAAGCATGATAACGTGATGATAGTAGCATGAACATCATCTGTCATAGGAACAGAACGTTACCTTAACTTCTGTGTTCGCCTACTCATCCCGTCCCTGTGTTCCCTTTCCCCAGCATTTCTTTTGTGTTCTATCACTTTTTCTTTATAGTTTTAGCCCAGGTGTCACATCTGTACAGCTAGCCTTCCTTCCTCTGTCCCTCTTTCCTTCTCTTCCGTCCATCATCCATCCCACACCATGAGTTTATACCATCATCTCCAGTTCTGTTCCAACACTGCAGGGTGTTTTTCAGATTTCATCCTTTCTATGCTTGTAGTTCTTGCCTTCAGCGGTGAGAAACCTGCTTTCTGTTGCCCAGTGTGTTTACCTGCATGTGCTCAGTCCCCCTGTGTGAAAGCACACTTCCAGCAGCAGGCTGGGTCCTGGACACACAGCTGGCCGTCCGGCCCCCACCCCACCCCAGGGCTCCAGGTGGGCTGGCTCCTCCCTGCTGGGTGCACCGGACAAAAGCATGACCCTGACTGGAGGAGCGCTATTGGGCATCTCAGCCCTGGACCTGCTGGGCCACTCCCATACCTCCCTGCGTGCGGTGCGCCAGCCGGTGCTGGGCCCTGAGAGTCCTCCCTGCCCTGCCTGCTAGGGCATCAGTCCATGGACATTGTACAATGTGTTGATGCGTTCAGGTGTATAATCATCTTATCTTGTGGTTTCTATCTTTACACGTGTTTCTTGTTTCTTGCCTACTTTTGAAATGGCCATTCTCGATTCTTTTCATTGTTTCTGTTCTTCCAGTGGTTATTCTAGAAATTACAGCATGCATGCTTAACTATTTCTGTGTCAGTAATATTAGGAGATGTGATGGAAGGAGGATTACGAAACAGTTTGAATTTACAGAAGGGATATTGTTTAGGGAATTTCTTTTATGACATACAACTTTGCCTTTATGAGGAAGACATTTTTGTGAAATTTCTTTACCAGGAATAGCTGTTCTTCACAACTGCTGGTTTGTTTTCATATTATAGACTCTGTAAATTAGGTAATTCATAGTGAGTTCTACATTGTTGTGGGAACTAGGAAATTCAGGATTAAATTTCAGACCTGCCTTACGAGCTCATCTGATCTCATTTTGGACATTATGCGTCCTTCTCTGCCTCTCCTCCTTAAACCCTCTAGCATTAAGGTCTGTTAGTCTTTGTTGAAAATGTAACTCGAGTCCGATTTTACTTTTCTCCTTACGTTGCCACCGAGTGAATGTTAGCCATCATCTCTTGTCTGGGCCCTGCACAGCCTCTCTGATTCTCCTGCTTTACCTCCCCCAGTCTTTACAAAGAAAGCAGCAGAGGGATCTTTCTGAGGCACAGGTTGTGTCCTGTCGCTTCTGTGCTTTAAAATCCTGCAGTGGCTTCAGCCACACGTGCACACTCTCTGCCCTGGCTCCCTGGGGGCTCACGGTGCTCGCGGCCCTGCACACCTTTCCTTTCGCCTCAAGACCGTTGCACTTTCTGTGCTTCTAGGGTGGACATCCTTACGGACTCTTTCTTCACTTCGCTGTGTAAGTGTCACTCTCAGAGAGTTCTGTCCTGACTCCCAGTCTGAACTGTGTCTGTTTTGTTACTCTGCTACAGTCACTCTTTTATTCTTCCCCTTTGTAGCAGTTACTATAAATTATCATTTTTCTCTTTGTTTTTATTTTTGGCGTTTTTAAAAGAATTGTTTCTAACACACAGGCAGGTTTTAGAGAATGATGTAACCAACATCCTCCACTTACCCTCCTCAAATCTTAACCTTTTTGTCTTATTTGTAACAGGTCTTTTTTTAAAGAAAGACTGCATTATACAGAGTTAACTTTTTGCCTTTCCCGGTTTCCCCTTTCTCTTTCCTCAGAGGTGGTTCCATCTCAGATTTGGCATTTATCGTTTCATGCATGGTTGTACTTTTACTGTTCATGTTTGTGTATGCTTCTATGTTGTATCCCTTTTGTGTGCACTCATATGTCAGTGACTTTTTTTTTTTTTTTTTTTTGCGGTACGCGGGCCTCTCACCGTTGTGGCCTTTCCCGCTGCGGAGCACAGGCTCCGGACGTGCAGGCTCAGCGGCCGCGGCTCACGGGCCCAGCCATTCCGCGGCATGTGGAATCTTCCCGGACTGGGGCACGAACCCGTGTCCCCTGCATCGGCAGGCGGACCCTCAACCACTGCGCCACCAGGGAGGCCCAAGCTCAGATTTTTTAAGATAAAAGTTTCTCCGTTAAATTGCTGTAGAACTCTCTAAAGGCTACTCTGAATTTCTGTGTTTATCTTGTGGTGGACCAGTAAAAATCAGTGCAAGGCCTTGGGCTGTTCCGTGAAAGGTGATTTCAGTGGCCCTGCTCTAGGACGTTCACGTACAAGTAGGATGTCTGCTGAGGTGGGGTCTGGGTGAGGCTTGTCGTCAGCTTGACTGACTTCCGCCCGGGCTCTTCCAGGGTTGTCCATGTCTGTCATGCTCACTGTGTGTAAGTGCCAGGACTGTCCATCCCTACCAACGCTTCATATAGTCAGGCTGGAGTGGGGACCTGGAAGCAGAGAAATTAAGTCCTGGTTTAATTATTGGAGCGTAGGTGTTTGTATAGAGTGACTGGATTAGGCATCAGGTTTTCTTTTGATTGATATTCATTGTGGTTTGATTTGCATTCCCCTAGTTAGGCACCTTTTCACCTGCTTATTGGCCATTTTTTTTTACCCTCTTTGGAGAAATGTCTATTCAGAACCGTCTAAAACGACAAGGATTTATTGTCTCACAGTCTTTGTGGGCTGGGACTGTGGCCCAGGGCCTTTCACAGGGCTGCAGCCCACATGCCAGCCTGTGCTGTGGTCTCTGCTGAAAGCTCGACTGAGGAAGGATGCAGCTCCGGCCTCACTCACGTAGGTGTTGGCAGTAGTCAGGTTCTCAGTCAGCCTTCAGTTCCTTATACACTATAGCCAGAGGCCACAGAGCAGTTCACAGCACAGCAGCTGGTTTCTGTCTGCAAAGCAGGGGAGTGAAAGCAAGAAAGAGCAGGATGGAAGCTGGAGTATTTTTGTAGCTTAACGTCAGAAGTCATATCCCAGCGTTCTGTCCAGCCCACACTCCAGGGAGGGGTCACATAGGACGTGAATGTCAGGAGTTGAAGATCTTCGGGAACCATCACAAAAGCTGCTGTCTTAGTTTGACTGCTGTCACAAAAAGACCATAAACTGGGGCTAATTTGGACAGCAGAGATTATTTCTCACAGGCTGGAGGCTGGGAAGTCTGAGATCAGGGTTCCCACGTGGTTGGGTTCTGGTGAGGACCCTCATTCTGGGCTGCAGATGACTGACTTCTTGCTGGGTCTTCACGGGGAGGACAGAGCAAGTTCCAGTCTCGTTCTCTCCTAATCCCATCGTGGTGGCTCCACCCTTGGGTCCTCACCTAAACCTATTGATAATTACTTCCCAAAGTCCTCAGCTCCTGGTACCTTCCCGTGGTGGTTAGGGTTTCAGCGCATGAGTTTTGGGGGACACAAACATGCAGTCCATAACAGCTGTCTACCACGATCCACTTTGCCCACATTTTAATTGAGATATTGAGCCTTTATTATTAAGTTCTAAGAGTTCTTAGTTTACTGAACAAGAGCCCCTTGTCAGGTATATGATTTGCATGAATTTTGTTTCATTCTGTGGGTTGCCTCTTTGTTTTCTTGATGTTTTCAACACAAAAATTAAAAAATTTATATAGCCAATTTGTCTACTTTTTCTTTCATTGAAAGTATTTAGTTGTTATATCTAAGAAACCATTGTCAAATCCAACGTCACAGAGATTTACTCCTGTTTTTTCCTAAGAGTTTTATTGTTTCAGCTGTTAATTTAGGCCTTTGATCCATTTTGAGTTAAGGGTCCAGCTTCATTCCTTTGCATGTGAATGTCCAGTTGTCCCAACACCATCTATTGAAGGGACTGTCCTTTCCCCATGGTTGACACACTTGTCAGAGATCTTTTGACTGTACGTGCATGGATTTACTTCTGGGTTCTCAGTTGTATTCCATTCCATTGATCTGCATTCTCAGCCGTTTTCCATTCCATTGATCTGTATGCCCATCCTTGTGTGAACACCACCCTTTGTTTTTGTTTGGTTTGGTTTGTTTGTTTGTTTTGGCCACCTGCGCGGCATGCGGGATCTTAGTTCACTGACCAGGGATCGAACCCGTGCCCCCTGCAATGGAAGTGCAGTGTCTTAACCACTGGACCGCCAGGGAAGTCCCACACCCTTCTTGATTACTGTAGCTTTGTAGTAAGTGTTCTTTTTCATATTGTTTCAGCTATTCTGGGTTCCTTGCATTTCCATATGAATTAAAGGATCAGCTTGTCCAGCTCTGCAAAAAAGAAAAGAAAGGGCAGTTGAAATTTTGATAGGGATTGTGTGAAATCTGTAGATCAATTTGAGGAGGATTGTCAACGACTTTAAGCGTTCTGATCCATGTACATGGGATATTTTTGTCAACAGTTTTTTTTTACAGTAGTCAGTGTACATGGCCTACACTTCTGTTTCTTATCCTGTTGTAAATGGCATTGTTTCCTTGAGTTGCTTTTCAGATCATTCATTGCAAGCACACAGATGAGGTTTTGTTTGTGGATCCTGTACCCTGCAGCCTCGTTTATTCCCTCCAGCAGTTGCAGTTCCTTTAATGGCTGCCTTAGGATCTGTGTACAAGGCCACGGCATCTGCGCATAGAGATGGTTTCACTTCTTTCTTTTCAAAACCTTTAATTTCATCTTCTTGCCTAGTTGCCTGGCCAGAGCCTCCAGTTCAGTGTTGAGTAGCAGTGATGGCAGCAGATGTCCTTGTCTTGTCTTATCTCAGGAGGAAAGCTTTCAGTCCTTCACCATTGAGTGTGCTGTTAGCTGTATATTTTTTGTAGGTGCTCTGTATTGGGTTGATATACCTAGTTTGTTGAGTGTTTTTATCATGAAAGGTTGTTGGATTTTGTCAAAGCTATTTTGTGTCTGTTGAGATAATCATGGTTTTTGCTCTCTGTTCTGTTAATATGGTGTATTACATTGATTGATTTTTATATATTGAACCAACCTTGCCCTACTGGGATAAATCCCACTTGGTTGTGGTGCATAATCAAATTCTTTATATGTTGCTCAAGGTCAGCCATAGGTGAGAGTTTATGGCCTTCTCAGGTCTTTTGAGCCTGTACAGCCCTGCACATGTGTGTCTTCTAGATTCACAGGTGTGTGTTGGAACTTTTCAAAGCCTCACTGGACATCTCATTTCCCAGCTTTCCTGTGAAGTATTTGGTCACCTTCCTGCTTTCCTCTTACCACCTCCTCGCCCAGCAGAGGTGTAAACAGTTTAAGCAATTTCTTTAATTTAAAAAATTTTTTATTTTTTATTGAAGTATATAGTTGATTTACAGTATTATATTTGTTTCAGATGTACAACATAGTGATTCAGTGTTTTTATAAATTATACTACATTTAAAGTTATTACAATATAATGGTTATCTTTCCTTGTGTTGTACAGTACATCCTTGTTGCTTATTTTGTACATAGTAGCTTGTGTCTCCGAGGTGTCACACAATTGACACTGGTTATTTTTGGCAAACACCAGGTGGAGGGGTGGGCCGGGGACTAGGTGGTCCTCCGTGGGTGAGTTCTGAGGTCAGACAAAGAGAAACCCCATGGGAGGGGTTTTCCAGGGAACTTTCAGGCAGGCCGAGAGATGGCAGGTACCTGGGGGTGAGGCTTTGAAGGAGCTCCAGCCCCATCCTGCCAGTTTCCTGCAGTGGAAGATGAATTTAGCACAGTGCGGAGAACACACGGGAGAGAGAGCTCTGAAAGCAGAGGTCAGGGTTCGCAGTTCTTTCCTTAATCCTGGTGGAGGTCATTGCCCAGACTTTGGGTCGTGGCATTGGGAATGGAGAGAAACCTTATCAAGACCTTATCAAGAAGGAATTGGTAAATATGTTTACGTGTAGTTATTTTATATAACATTTGTTTATTTCTGATGACCGAAGTTCCCTACACGTTTACAGAAAAGCACCACACGAAAAGGACACAATTTTTTAGGAAACACCTGTTGAAGAAGGAATATTTTCCCTAAGTATTATATGAACCAGTAGTTTCATAATGTTCGCTTTGTGAAAATAGAGCCAAGCTATGAATTTTTAGAAGTACTTCTCATCAAAGTGCGTCTAGTGAGTTGGTGGCCGACCCCGCTACACTCGGCAGCTGACTTTCCTCTTCTTCCCCTCCTTTCAGGTGGATGCACGGAGCATACCAGTGTTAGCAAAATGGCAGAACTCATACAGCATTAAAGTTGTACTTCAAGAGCTAAGACGTCTAATGATGTCCAAAGAAAATATGAAGCTTCCACAGCCACCAGAAGGACAAACATACAACAATTAATTTTAGTGGATTTAAAACTTGTCTTAAATCAACAACCTTCTATTCATGTTAATGTCTTGATTAAATATCACAATGCAAAATACCCACACATTAAGTAAGATAATTCCAGCTGGTAAACATGACCTGGACATCTGTAAGAGTATATTTAATATATGTACACCCATTATGTTTTCAGGTAACAGGAGGAAAATTCAGCACAGTTTTTTTTCTTGTTAAGGCACCGTCATTTAAGCATGAACCTGGAGTACTCAGAGTGGAACTCAGGTTTCCAGGTGGAAGAACAGCAAGAAGTGTCAGATGGCTGTGCAAGCAGATGTGTTTCTGAAGAGAAAGCCCGAGAAGGAAAACCCAGAATGGCGTGCTCTCGCTTAGTGAAAGAGCTTCCGTTGAAATGATCTAAAGTGGCAGGTACAATGAATATTGTCACAAAACGTGTTCATTTTCGAAGCGGTATAGGTGCTGACTACTAGTAGTATCAAAAATACGTTCAGGATTGTTTTGATACCTGTATTTATAATAAAATTGTTGTGGGGAGGTGGACGGATTTCCGTTACAAGCTGTTCCTGGGTGTTCCATGTACCAGACGCGGTGAAGAGTTGTTTACAGTCTTTGTTGGACAAACCATGCATTTACATTTAAATGAAATCAACAAAAAGGAAATAGATATATGGATATGTGATTTTGAGATTAACGTTAGTCTTAAATTGTAAATAAAATGTGGAATGTGTCCTCAGAAACTGTGCCATTTCTGTTATATTGATGTGGTATGTATACAGTAACTTGCTGAGGTAGCAGAAATCGGAATTATTGTAGCCTTCCCCTATACACACCTTTTATTATTTATCCTATATTGTATACTTCTTGCAAATTGGAATTTGTGGAGTATTTAACAGTACAGATTACCTAATAAGTTTAATTTCTTGTTAGGAGAAGGAGGAATCCCAGGTATTATGTTTTGAAGTTGATTTCACCAGAAATATTGTTAAGAAAGATGTTTGAGTTCTAGCAGTTTTTATAGAATTAGAGATCGCAAATTATCCAAACATACGTTCCAGTTTTTCTTCATAATATCTGCCCCCAGTGCTCTTCGCACTAACTGGGGTTAGTTTTGTTCACTTATCCTTTGCCTTGGCAGCTACATAATTCTGAATTGAAAGTCCACCTGTGCTCTGCTTTACCAGAGTGACGAGACTTTCGGATGCCGTTTTTCATCTCACAGCGCTTGGGTGTACTACTTTGTTGAAAATACTTCTCTCTTATGGGTTCTGTTTTCTGAAGAAAATAGTAAGGTGGTCATGTAACAAGGACAGATTTCTCAACCCTGACATGTTTTTATCAAGTGCATTCAAAGTTAAAGCTCTGAGCTACCTTTTCTTGGCCAGTAATACTTTAAAGTCAGTGGCAGTTTATCTAAATTTGCTAATTTCAATATGGCTTTTTTTTTTTTTTGGCGGTATGCGGGCCTCTCACTGTTGTGGCCTCTCCCGTCGCGGAGCACAGGCTCTGGATGTGCAGGCTCAGCGGCCATGGCTCACGGGCCTAGCCGCTCTGCGGCATGTGGGATCCTCCCGGACCGGGGCACGAACCCGTGTCCCCTGCACCGGCAGGCGGACTCTCAACCACTGCGCCACCAGGGAAGCCCTCAATATGGCTTTAATTATCAAAGATGTTTAAAGTGACACATAGAGAATGTATACATACAAATTAGTGCATGTGTAATTTATTAAAATAGGTTTGAAATGAACTATTACCTTGGCATACATTCTTAAAAATTTTAAGTGGTTGAGATTAAGTGGAATTACACTGATATCCTATGTGAGAGTGGTGGTTCCTGACAGTCTAAATCGGTCTCTAGTGACCCCTTCCCCACTGGGAGAGCGTGTCCTGTCATATGTGGGCGCTGATAACCATCTGAGTGCTGTACATTGTTTCTACAGTGGTGGGCTGAGAGCCTGGGCACCTTGACCTCTGGTCCACTCTCCTTTCCCCGCACCCGCTGTTGTGAAGGACTCCCCCCCACAGGTGTGTGTTGCCTTCGAAATTTGGTTGAAAGGCTAGCAGGTGAGACTGTAGGGGATGATCATGTGTTAATAAAGATTGCAAAAGTAAAATATTTGTCCTGTTAGGTCAGTGTTATGCTTTAATGGTTTTAATTACTAATTTTCAGAATCCCTCATTTAAAAATATTTTTTCTAGTATTTTAAAGTAATGGCATTTGTTGTTACAGGTTTATGTGTGACTTTTCAGGATTTTGGAACATAAACATTTATAAGAGGTGGTCAATGGTATTTGAGTTTTTTGGGTGTAAAATTTTTTTAAAAATTATAATTTTAAATTATCTTTTTAAAAGAATTTATCACACTTCAAATTTGAGTAAGTGCCTGGGGAGTGAATTAGTTTGAATTGCATATGGTTTATTAGTCTGGATTACTTAATGCCAATTCATTAATTTAGCTTCTTCCCACTAAGTATATATTGTTATTGATGAATATGCATGAAATTCATATTGTTTTGAAAATTTAGAGTACATGGCTGGAAAATATCAATGTGTTTCCCACCCTGGATTTGGTGTGAGACCATGTGGGCGGCTCTGGAAGACGCATCGTGAGGTATAGACTTTGGTCAAAGCTGTGCTCACTCTTCTCGTGGGTACACAGCCGTGCTTGCATGTACACGTTAAAGAGTGTAAATGCAGATGATGCTGTCTAGTGTCATGAATAACAATTTGGGGAGTTATTTAAGGAATTTTTTCCCCCAGATTTTCTCGGTAAGTATATTTTTTAGACATATATGTGAAGCATTATAGTATAATTAATTGCTGGGAAGGATCTAAAAGGCACTGATTTCACTTTTCTGAGAAGTAACAATATGATTTTCCAGTAACAACTTGATTGGCTTTTGGTTGTGTTCACAAAAAGATTGCAGCTCCGAAGATTTTGGAAAGCATTTGTATTTTGTATATAAAACAGAAACATTATGAAAAGCAGTGGATGCAGCGTATTACAGGCTTGATAGGAGCGTTAGCAGTTAATTCCTACCCAGTACTGTGTTTATTGACAAGCAAAATGTATGGAAATAGAATATCTTTTATGCTAAAATTAATATGCCTCTTTGAAGTTACTAAACAGTAGATGGAAATCTTATCATAGGTCATACTGAAAATGTTGGCTATTTTAAAAGTATAGTGGAATACTGAAAAGATACACCATAAGTATTTTCTGAAGGGAAAATTATCGAGGTATTTGCTGACACAGAAAATAAATGACAAGTCAAAACTGTCATCCTGTGAAATAAGGGAGTTTGAGGGAATCATGGAGTGAGTACGTGATTTTAAAGAATCACTGGATGTGAAGAGGTTGCCCATTGTGTTTACGTACATCTCTAATGGGACATTCTCACCTAAAAAATTCCTAAAGGTCCTCTGCATTTCATTTTTACATGTAATCTAAAGATCAGTACAGAATTTTTTCTGCAACTTCATTTATGAAATCAGTGATAAAATCCAGATAGATTTCACTTTCTTAACTTAGAAACATTCCAGGAATCATCCTTTCTCCAGTGGGTAGCTGACCAGATACCATGTAAGGATTGTGCAGTGGCCCCTCTGCTCCAGATGTAGACTTACCATGTGAATTCTTTTATCTTGTCTTAGTTGAGTACTGAGCAGCTGCTTACATCTGTCTGAGATTTTGGCAGCCAAAAGATTATACAAAAGTAAAGGTAATATTCCACCTCCAAAGGAAGACTAATCTCTGGCACTGAGAAACCAATGAAGTGAGAAACCCCGTGGTCAGTAAAGAAGCAAATCTTTGAATTCATTGAGAGTGAAAACTGTTCCTTGTTTGTTCAGTGCAGTTGAGTAATTAAAATATTGTTCAGAGATTATGGGGAAACATTAAACAATGGAGTGTGTGTATTCTTCCTTCATCTGATATAATAGCTTTTTTTTTTTAAACAGGCTTTTAACAATAGATAATTTTACAGAGTAATCTGGAAAATTAACAGTGTAATGTAAAGTGAGGTTTCGACAGGACACCTACATTAAAATGTAGTAAGATTAGTTATAATACTTAATGTCATGTTTTTTGGGTCCAAAGACTCTTCCAATCAACAAGCATGGTAATTGTGAGTGCTTTATTACACAGGGTGAGACTTTATAGCCTTTGTAGTTTGTCAGCCCTTAATTTGAGGGAAAAAGGTAGATTTTCTCCACAGTGGATAACTGACAAAGAGAAATGTATTGTTTTACTGCTTCTCAAGCCACATTGTCCAAATAAGTAGTGATTGCCAGATGTCCAGATGATATCCACTATCATAAATTATCTTTTTATTGCTGTAATTTAAAAAATCATCTTAATACTCAAGTAAAAGTAATTGAGTTCACAAGAAAAGTAAAATATCTAATTGCCTGGGTTTCTTAATCTTGAGTAACATACGGACTTCTTTAAGGAGAACAGTAATTCTTTTGGACTCAGTATTGTCTTGAATTATTTTTGTTAAAACATTGTTTAATGCATACAATTGTATCAATGCAAATGTATAAACTTCTTAGTCCTATAAGATTATAAAGCAAATTAACCCAATTACATAGTAATTAAAATGTAAAAGACTTTAATATTGAGGATGTTTTATTGAATTACTCTCTACTTGAAATGTAAATATTTTCGTCTCTTCTTGGCTTTTTGTTGTTGCCATGTCTATATTAGAGTGTGCGGCTGGACCTCAGATTTTTCTTACCTTTTCTCTCTTGACAAACTGGTACAAAAAACCTTTGTTGTGTTATCTGACCTTCATTTGGTATAAATACAGTTCCCGCATTAGGTCCCCCTCTGTTCTGTTCTGTTAACCAGAGAACTAAAATTCCTGAGTCTTGATTCGACTTTGAGACCACAGTTGTCTTAAACCCTTGATTCTTGAGAATTACTGTGCTACTCACTTTTCTGTGTTTGTGGCCCTGTATAGAAATAAAAATGATTTATGATTGGTGATGGTAGGTAAACTGATATAGTAAGATCATTTTAAATTTGGGTGACACATTTTAATCCGTTAGGTTTTAAAGCTTAGTGCTAAGAGGTGCTGAATACATTTATTGGTTTAGAAAATAAACTGCGGTTGAAAGTGGCTCCTTTCTCTGTTTGTGCCTCTGTACTGTCCATCGTCCTCTGGTGAATTTCCCGCACCTGTCATCTCTCTAGCTCCCTTCTATCAGCCTATGGCCACTGCTGTTCTTACATTCTGTTGCTCTTTGAGTGGATCCCTTTAAACCCCTTTTCCCCATCATTCTGGATGTGGTCCCCTCACATCAGCCGCAACCATGAATTTGAAGACTGCTTATGAGAGGTAGCTCGCCCGTTTGCTGTGCTCTGGCTCCTTCCTGCCTGTGCCCTTTGTTTACCACCTGTGCCCTCACTACCTGCGTCCTCTCCAACGTTCTCTATCCCTGATTTGCAGATCTTCTCCTCACCTGTCACCGTTGTCCTCCTTGACACAGTGTCCTTGTGTGTGATATTTTTGCTTCATTTGCCTCTGAGAGTTGATGTCCAAGCTGCCCATCACAGTAATAAAATTTTAATATTATTTATAAATGTATTCTAAGCATTTAATATTCTTTGAATTTAAAAATATCCCCAGAGTATATTTTTTGAAGCTAAACATCAGAATTTGGATGTTTTCTTATTTGAGATATTTAAGATTATGAGAAATACCATTTTTGAAAACAATGTATTTGTCTACAAAGAAGTGTTAGAATCATTTATTTGTATTAAAAATTATTAAACTGACTGCCAGAAACTAGGTGACTTTTTATGCGATGCAGAATTTACTGAGTTCTGCTCACAGGCAGGTTGGAGTGTTTTCTTCAACCCTCCCTGTGTTAAGTCCTTGTGAGACTGCTGCTTTAGGACATAAAGGTAGACAATACCATGGAGGTGATAGGTAGGCGCCAGTTCTGTCAGCCTTGGTGATCGAGTGGGTGACAGAGTCTGTGGTCCTCCTCTGGGGCTCCTCACTGGCAGAACCCAAGCGCCGTTAGCAATGAGGTTCTAAGCCGAACCTGGTCTGTAAATTGATCAACGAAGAGCAGCAGAGAGGAAGCTGATGGAAATCCTAGGGCCCTCCACCCCGTGGCTTTGGACCACTTAGCCCTGTACCCTTCAGTTCCTTCTGAGAAGGTCATGCTTTCCCCATATAGTTGTGGTGTCATGAAACAATATGAATGGTTTTAATCACAATCAGAATGATTAATCAGTAAGTGGTAGCTTTTAAAAATGTTATTAATCGAAGAACATTCACTTAAATTATGTCAAGATATGCATTTGCATCAGGTCTGTCCTCCTGTGTAAAGGGTGGACTAACTTTCCAAGAGGTTACGTGAGGTCATATAGGAGGCTTCATTAAGCTGCTTGTGCTTTCTGGACGAAATTAATTTGTGCTCCTGGTTGAAGGCAGACAGATGGGCTTCTGGGTGCTAGTGAGACCTGGCATGCCTGTCACCCCTCCCCCGTCCCAGCTGGGTGCAGTGGCCCTGGTGGATCCACCCCTGGATGGGCACCACTCCTGCCCTCCCACAGTCATGAGTGTTATCAGTGCATTTACGATTGTTTGCATTGTTGTTCTGACCAGTGCACGTTACAGGTGGTCCTGGAGGTGGTGTTGGTGTAGTTCATTCACGCACTCATCTCACACAGGTGGGGCATACACCTCGCTGGCCCACCAGAAACACACACATTGACCTGAATCTCAGAGTAGCCCTGCGGAGGCTAGACAGTCCCCCTTTGAGCTGACTTGGTATGAAACGCTGCCGGGCTCCTTACGGGGGAGGTGGTGACCAACACCTCAGTTGCATCCTCTCGTGCCCCCGGGGAGGGTGCTTCCTGGAGCCGAAGCTCTGCTGCTCCCAGTGGCCCGCTGTATCCTAGCCTGGAGGTGTGGGGCCCAAGGCCAGCAGAGCCAGGAGAGGAGGTTCTGTCATACCTACACGTTCCTTGTTAAGTCGAGATGTAAATGACATACCATAAAATTCACCTTTTAAACTGTTCAGCCCAGTGGTTTTTACCATATCCACAAGATTGTGCAAACATCACCACTAATTCTAGAACATTCCAGAATGATGGCTATTCGGGCTGTTTCTGTATTTTGGCTGTGATAAGTAATGCTGTTACAAACATTTGTATATGTTTTTATGAGGACATATGTTTTCATTTCTCTTGGAATTGCCAAGTCATAAGGTAGCTGTGTTTAGTCATTTGAGGAGCTACCTGGCTGTTTTCCAAAGTAGTTGTGCCATTTTACATCTCTACCAGCAGTTCTCCGCATCCTCACCAGCACATTATTGTTTGGCTGTGATTCTAGCCATCCTAGTAGGTGTAAAGTGGTATTTCGCTGCGGTTTTTCCCAGTCACTAATGATGCTGAGCATCTTTTTACAAGATCACTGGCTATTTGTGTATTTAGAGAAATGTCTACTCAGGTCCTTTGCCCATATAAAAAATTGGTTTATTTGTAGTTTTATTGTTGAGTTGTAAGAGGTCTTATATATTCTGGATATTAGACCTGTATCAGATATATGGTTTGCAAATATTTTCTCCTGTTCTCTGGTCTGTCTTTTCACGTTTTTAAAAAATTTATTTATTTACTTACTTTTGGCTGCATTTTTGGTCTTTGTTGCTGCACGTGGCCTTTCTCTTGTTGCAGCGAGTGGGGGTTACTCTTTGTTGCAGTGCGCAGGCTTCTCGTTGCAGTGGCTTCTCTTGTTGCGGAGCACGGGCTCTAGGCTCGCAGGCTTCAGTAGTTGTGGCCCACAGGCTCCAGAGCGCAGGCTCAGTAGTTGTGGCGCACGGGCTCACTAGTTGTGCCTCGTGGCCTCTAGAGCGCAGACTCAGTAGTTGTGGCACACGGGCTTAGTTGCTCCATGGCATGTGGGATCTTCCCAGACCAGGGCTCGAACCCGTGTCCCCTGCGTTTGGCAGGCGGATTCTTAACCACTGCGCCACCGGGGAAGCCCCTCGTTTCAGTTTTTTTGATACTATTTCTTTGATGCACAGATTTTTAAATTTTTATGCAACGTAATTTTTCTGTTTTTTCTTTGGTTACTTGTAATTTTGATATTATGTCTAAGAAATCATTGCCTTGTCCAAGGTCATTGTGATGGTTAGTTGTGTTAGCTGGGCTAGGCTGTAGTAACCAGTTACTAAATCAAACACTAATCTGGGTCCTTTCAAGATATTTTGTAGATGTGATTAACATCTACGATCGTTGACGTTAAGTAGAGGAGCTTGCCCTCAATAATGTGACGAGACCTGATCCAGTCAATTGAAGGCCTCAAGAGCAAAAACTGAGGTTTCCTGGAGGAAAGTAAGTTCTGCTTCAAGACTGCAGTCAAGTCCTGCCTGAATTTCCCGCCTGCTGGCCTGTCCCCACAATTACTTAAGCCAATTCCTTAAAATAAATATCTATCTCTGTGTCTTATTCTTTCTTTATCTGCCTATCATTTATCTCTGATCTCCTGTTGGTTCGTTCTGATACAGTGACAAAAATTTACATCTGTGTTTTCTTCTAAGAATTTATACTTTTTTTTTTTTTTTTTGCGGTACGCGGACCTCTCACTGCTGTGGCCTCTCCCGTTGCGGAGCACAGGCTCCGGACGCGCAGGCTCAGCGGCCATGGCTCACGGGCCCAGCCGCTCCGCGGCATGTGGGATCCTCCCGGACCGGGGCACGAACCCGCGTCCCCTGCATTGGCAGGCGGACTCTCAACCACTGCGCCACCAGGGAAGCCCTAAGAATTTATACTTTTAGCTTTTACATTTAGGCCTTTGATCTTTTTTGAGTTAATTTTTGTATTTTTGTATGTATAAATTTTGCACGTATATATATCCAGTCATCTCAGCACCATTTGTTGAATGGTCTTGTACGCTTGTCAAAAATCAGTTGACCATATTTATATATGGTTTTTTTTTTAACATCTTTATTGGGGTATAATTGCTTTACAATGGTGTGTTATTTTCTTGCTTTATAACAAAGTGAAATCAGTTATACATATACATATGTTCCCATATCTCTTCCCTGTTGCATCTCCCTCCCTCCCTCCCACCCTCCCTATCCCACCCCTCCAGGCGGTCACAAAGCACCGAGCTGATATCCCTGTGCTATGCAGCTGCTTCCCACTAGCTATCTACCTTACGTTTGTTAGTGTATATATGTCCATGCCTCTCTCTCGCTTTGTCACAGCTCATCCTTCCCCTTCCCCATGTCCTCAAGTCCATTCTCCAGTAGGTCTGTGTCTTTATTCCCGTTTTACCCCTAGGTTCTTCATGACATTTTTTTTCTTAAATTCCATATATATGTGTTAGCATACGGTATTTGTCTTTCTCTTTCTGACTTACTTCACTCTGTATGACAGTCTCTAGGTCCATCCACGTCTCTGCAAATGGCCCAATTTCATTTCTTTTTGTGGCTGGTTAATATTCCATTGTATGTATGTACCACATCTTTATCCATTCCTCTGTTGATGGACATTTAGGTTGCTGTCCTGGCTATTGTAAATAGTGCTGCAGTAAACATTGGGGTTGCAAGTGTCTTTGAATTATGTATGGTTTTCTTTGGTTATATGCCCAGTAGTGG